ATTCATTGCCCATCCACCATTTACAAATTCAAGTTGTCCTTTAATTGGGCAATTAGTAAATTAATTTAAAATTGTTTAATTGTACCTGTTTTGACCAGTTCCTTGACAATAGCTTTCTGCTCATCGTCTTGCTCCATCCACCATTTCCAGAAAAATGCCGTCTCTACGTACATAAATCGACGTTCTTTGTTTCGAATAAGTTCTTCAACAACAGAGTCTAGTATGTATTGGACGCCGGCTTTTTGGTATTTGGTATTTGTCCCATAATAATACTGTTCGACCGTTTTTAGCCACCCCACGTCATCATGTGTATGAGGTACCAAATGAACGTTTATCTTGCTTGGGTCGGGTTTAGTACATTTGCTATAACCACAATTCTCTGGTAAGTTCTCTACACGAATGACCACTGACTCACAGGTGATCAACAATTGGCTTGTTATGAATAAGAATAGCAACTGTATTTTTGTCATTTTGCATGAAAAAAAATAATTAAAGTGAAAAAGTTTAAATGGTTCTAATTGAAAAATACTTTTAAGACTTTTAAATGCTCATCTTTAATCTTGTTTAATCTTATTTATAAAGTAGATTTGCTAAACCGCTACATATTAAAACAAAAAAATATTATTAACAATTAGTTTTAAGTTTTAATTTATCAAAACTATAAAAAATTTTTATATGTTAAAAATTTTATCTTTTTATTTATTTAAACATCTTTAGTACAAAAGTTAATTAGTTTTTCTAAACTTGCAAACAGTTATCATGCCAAAAATGATATAAGATCTAGTTTTTCTCACGGTCAATATTGGAAATACCTTTAATAACAATTATCAGAAAAACAAAAAGTGTACAATGGATCTAAAAGTGTTGTTTTATTACAAATAAAAATTGATTATATATTGAAAAATTATAGTTATTTGCATAGTGATTTTTACATAAATTAATGAATACCAATAGTTTTTTACAAATGATGCTAAAACTTTTAATTTTTTGTTTGTTTGCACTTTCGGTTTTTGCCGAAACTGATCCAGATGAAACTTCTGATCTTTTTCATTTGGTTCATTCTAGAGGATACATTTTGCAAGCTCACGACGTAACAACTCAAGATGGGTATGTTGTTCTATTGAGCAGGCAGCTAAACCATTCAAAATTGTGATTTTTACTCACAGGTATATTCTTACCCTTCATCGGGTTGTACCGAAAAGCTTTACAGTTGACGCAGAGTACTGCAAACACCGAAAACCAGTTATTGCAAATCATGGGCTCACCGGTTCATCAAGTAACTTTTTAATGACTTCGCATGAACTGCATCCCCCAAACTCAACAAAATGTGGCGACAACTTTGGCTTCTGTTTGGTGGACACTGGAAGATATGATTTGTGGCTTACAAATAATCGAGGTACTTACAACTAAAAATTTTTAGTTCATTTTAAAGTGCGACACGGAGGATAACGGCGCTGCTCGCGGATCAATGTGTTTTCATTGCGTTTTTAGAGTTTCTCATAGAAAACACACTGAACCGCGCGCAGACTGCTACCTTTGTATGGCTTTACAACAGCTAAATTTTACAGGAAATGGATATTCAATGGGACACGTTAATTTGACTACCGAAAGCGATACTTTTTGGCATTTCTCAATGGACCAAATGGCCAAGTATGACCTTCCAGCAGTAATTAATTTTGTCAAAAATAAAACTGGATACAAGACGGTTGGTTACGTCGGTCATTCTCAAGGTTGTGCCATCATGTTTCAGCTTTTGTCCACTCAACCCGAATATAGCGAAATTGTCAAACCATTTATTTCTTGGTCGCCAGCTGTGTTTGTAACACACATGAAGTCATTTATCAAGATGGCCATACCTTTTGTCGATTTTTATCGCAAAATCGGCAAAAGTTTAGATTTGCGAGGACTAATGAACATGTTCACTGGCGATGACCAAAACAGTTGTCGTGTTGGGAAGTCGGAAGATGCTTGCCACAAATTCCTCGTCCAAATAGCCGGTCCTACAACTCACGTGAATCACAACCGAGTTATAGTGTATTTGCATTATTTTCCAGCTCCCGTCTCAATGTGGCAAGTGGTGCACTTTGCTCAGAATCAACAAACAGCAACATTTTCACATTTCGACTATAAAAATGAATCTTTAAACATCGCCGAGTACGGCACCATTCATGCTCCTGAATATCCTTTGGCAAAAATTAGTCCAAAAACCAAAATGGTCATAGCATGGGGTGCAACAGACTATCTAGTTAGTCCTGAAGATGTGCAGCACTTGATTCAAATTATCAAACCAGTGTTAAAAGACAACCTGATTGAGTACAAAGTTCCTTCGGAGCAGTTTAATCATTTAGACTTTGTAATTGGAGTGGACGCTGGAAAGTTGCTTTATGATCAAACTATTGGTTGGCTAGATCAATGGGCATAACCATTTTTTAATTTTATTTCAACAAGCTTTATTGCTAAATCATTTTGTAATAATCAATACGTTTTTTAAAAAAAATCTGTTTAAACAAATAAGTATTGACAAAAGGTTTTGTGGGTGNGTGGGCATAACCATTTTTTAATTTTATTTCAAAAAACTTTATTGCTAAATCATTTTGTAATAATCAATACGTTTTTTCAAAAAAATCTGTTTAAACAAATAAGTATTGACAAAAGGTTTTGTGGGTGTGTTTTGCTTCAAAGGTTTAATTTTGGACGTTTTTACAACGTTTGCACAGCATAGATAGTTCAATCAGTTTTTGTAATAATTAAAAAATAAATTACTTAATTGTTTTAAGCAAGTTTGATGAAATTAGCAGAAAAGAAGAGTACGTCATGATAAACTGAAAAAAGACAAATTACTATGTAATAAACTCATGTAATTAAAATTTAATTACCTCAAGTAATGATTTTCTTGAAATTTTTCCAACCATGCACACATAAAAATAAAACCGCTTATTCGTACAGATAGCTTCATAAAACGTCATTAGTTTCAGTTTGACGCTCAAAGATTTGACGTATTGATGAGTTTTAAAAAGAACACCCCCAGAGCTGTGCATAGCATCAGACATGTAGATGAAGATTATACAGCCAGCTAGAGCAAGAAAGACCTCTAGAAAGAGTAGGCATATTAGAAGAACCAATTCGGCAATGAGGAGTTTTTCATGTAGAATAATGTTAATGTTGAAACTGCTAACAAGAACGTTGGTAAACAGTGTGACAAACATAAGCTTGCCGACAATTAAACTGGCAATGTATTGAGCAATGTAGTGCACGTGCACAAAGTGCTGCCTGAATGTGCTCAACTTTAACTCTACTCGGGACTCAGATGGTGTGCTGTGAAGAGTGCGTAAGAGGGAGGCTTTGTGAGAAAGAAGTTGCCGACCAAAGGCAACTATAGGAATGGTCACTAGGTGAATTGCAAAGAGACACAGGCGGATGCTGTTCCACGTTGCGTAGAGCATAAAGAGAATGTCAATCAGTGAAATGAGTAATGTCCAAAGGGTAAGGATTGGGTAGAGAAAGAACAGGAACGAAAGCGCCAGTGAGCCAAAGTTTAGTACTGCAAAACAAAATAAGTCTGAAAAACTGATGCTAAATATTCAATTTTTAAATTACTTATGACAATGAGAAAAAGTACATTAACCCATTCAATGACTGTAGAGAGAATTAACACTTTGGCTCGAATCTTTGTTGACAAACCGTCAAAATTTTGCAAACTTTTAAATTTAAATACAACGTCAAAGTTATTCCAGATTTTCAAAATGAACTGCTGAACCTCTTTGCATGTGTACTTTTGTGAAACAGCACTATTAAGTGACCAAAAATTAGCTGCATTATTAACAATGATGTCATGGCCAATTTTTAAAACGTAAAGATCCATCATGAAACAGATAGAGTAATCCACGTACAACGCAAATATTCCCAAAAGACCTGTCGCTGCAGTAGTAAAAATATTAAAAAANTGTAGAGATCCAGCATGAAACAGATAGAGTAATCCACATAAAAAGCAAATATTCCCAAAAGACCTGTCGCTGCAGTAGTAAAAATATTAAAAAAGTGAAAATGAATAACTAAAGTCGTCAACACCGGATCAACATCAATGTGAGCTTCAAGAGGAAGGTGCCTTAACTGCAAATAAGTGACAACAAAACTACGAACTGGAAAAATCACACAATAAATGTAGAAAATGCATTTCCAGCTTAAAATAGTAACCCATTTTGGCTTTGGTTTTTTTGTTTTCTCGTAAATAAGATGTTCAATAAAACGACTAAGGCGTAATTGAATAAAGTGAATATTCAATAAGTATGAAAAAAGGATGGCGATCCGTTTGAAAAATTTTGTTTTAACCATTGTTTAAACGTTGTGTGAAGGTTCAAGTGAGTTTAAACAAATAAAAAAATATCAATTTTTATTTAAGTTTTTTTAATTGAGTAAGTTGCAGAGTAAATTTTAAACTGCAGTCAGTTTAGGATTATTTTTTACTTTAAATATGTTTTGAATAAAAGTATATAAGTTTGCCGATAAATCGTTTTAATTAGACAAGTCAAATGTTACAACCTTTGAGTTTTACGTTTATTTAACTTTATATTAAAAAAATTAATGACAGGAAAATACTGACAAAAATATCAATTTGTACTTTTTAATTAAAATAGGTCACAGTTCTCAATAATTAATGAATTTTTTAAATTGAAACTNATATCCTGTTGACAAAAACAAAGTGCAAAAAACTTTAAAAATGATTCTCAGAAAAATTTTTTAAGTTATAAAATTGTTCAAAAAAATTTAATGACAAATGTCCGACTGTACAGATTAATCAAATCAAATTGAACTTT